CAACATGCATACATGTATGAAGTTACTATGAACTGATGGCAAACCAACTTCGTCAACCCAGAATCCGGAATTAACTTGCACTGGCGACATGCGCCCACGCAGAAAACTCAGAGATATGGCCTCTGGCCATAAACTCGGTTCAAGTCAACAGTTACAGCTTGCAGCTATGGCCGCCGAATGCTGTCTGAAGTTCCCTCTGCCCACTAGCTACACCATCAGCCTCAACCTCACACACACATACGCACACAAGGATCCACCCTGAATGTCCACACCACACACTGTACACTCTATCGACGTCAGCAGCTTGGCGGCTATGGCCGCCATTGTCTTCCTCCTCCTAGCTATGGTTGTCCTCGTCTTCCTCAGCCCGCTTCTCCTCTGGGCACCTGCAGACCTCCCGCACAAGTCGCTGCAGCAGCGCTTCCGCATGGCTCACAGGCAAATGAATGAATGGCTGTGCGCTGTCTCTTTATTCATACTGTGACGGAGTGGCCTGGCCTGCCCCAGCCCCTGGGCCAAACCGCGTGGGCCTGGGGATGGGCCAAAACGCGTGGCCCAGTAGTGTCCCAAACCGCGTGCGACTCGCCTCAAACGGCGTGGGACTCCCCTGGTACTTGCTCACTGGACGGGGTGGACTTGCTACCTTGCTGAGTCAGACATGATCAGTGGAGCCTACGAAGACTTCCCGAAGAACCCTTGCTAAGACTAACGGTAACACACCTAGCTGCTAACACAAGGACCGAGGGATCAAGACCCACGACAGACTAGCCTGCTGACTAACTGACCCAAGCGGCTTAGGGACAGGTCGTGGGTTCAAATCTCACACAGGGTCACAGGTTTGATGCACAGGATCACGGGATGGGTGCAGGGATCGAATCCTAATATCTGCATCTGTCAGGTAAAGTGGGTTGCAAGGAATATGAGTGTGTGATATACAGAAAACCAATGTTGCGAAATCACACAGATGTCCAGGTAGTCGTATCCAAGCAGAGAGTACAAAATGCACCGAGAAACCATCCACATAGAGCAATACAATGACGTAATGAGCCAATGTTCAAGCCCGTAGGCCACACCAACACAGTATCCAAAGTCGCTCCCCCCTGTCTAGCGCCCAGCACCCAGCCTACTCTACCCGACTATCCTACCTACAGCTGGTTCACGCAACAGGATCACTTCGATTCACGAACACCAATGTTCACGACTGTAAACACCATAGCCGACCTCTCTTCATGCACCAGGTACGTATCTCGCCACCCTCAGTCAGACCTTGATTTCTCCACACTCGCCTCCTTCCCTGAAGACCACTCGATCGCCCGCATTACCCCCTGGCGACCAGCAGCCTGGATATGGCTGCCTGCGCCCCGCCGCCCTGCAACGCCCCTCCTCACCACTGTGCGCCCCGTCAGCGGCTTTGGCAGCAGCGCAGCATCAAGCAAGAGCGCAGCAGCAACACTTCCACATTGCCAGCACTGGCCAGAATGCCTGGCCTGGACTGCCCTACTCCTTTTGTGGTAGTGGCAGCCTCCTGGATGCTGCGTGTGACCTGGCTGGAAGCTTCCAGTAGCTTCCGGTTGGGCCTCAGACCCTGCGCCCAGGCCCAAGACTACAGTTGAGGGCCTGGGCCCTTTACAGTTGGGCACGGCCTGAGTCTCCGGACTTGGGCTGTTTGCTGCATCTGTGCAGGGCCCCCATGTAGGTGCGCTGGCAGTACTGCTTTTGCAAAGGCCGATGACCTGCTTCCCAATGTATCTGCCCTGCTTTGTGTGTATGTGCCCAGGTGCAACTGTCAAGGCCTGGGCCAACTGTATGACGCAGCTTTGTGAGGCGAACGCGTCTACCCAACCAACAGGCGTGCTGGGAGAGCCTGAATACCCCCAGATGGAAATGTCGAATTCAGGCCCGCCTTCCCTTAGGGCGGGCACTTGGCTTGCTGGGGGCCTTAGCTTTGTGAGGCTCACGCGTCTACCCAACCA